ACCAAAGAAGTAATGACAGTCTTCTCCTCACAAGGAGAGATTCTAATGTCTTCTTTGCCGGCCAGAGGAGTGCAGCTGGTTTCTTCCTACTCCCCATTCCTCACTTCACAAGGAGAGGCTCTCATTTCTTGTTTGGCGTGGAAATGGGAAATTACATCAAACTAAAAAATTGAAAGAAAGGCACACATGCACAAGGGAGGGCATGCAGGAGGCCATCACCAAAGCGGCACTAAAGAGCTAATGTGGAGGATATGTGATAAGCATTGATGCAAAAATGGTATGCTTCTGTTATTAAACTAGTATGATTATGGTGGGATAGCAGGCCCATATGATAAAGACCCAAGTCCATGGAAGGTTATGCTACAAATGTCCTTTGCTCAGTTAGTCCCAAAGATGCGACAAGATCTCTTTCCTCAGCTTTTGTCTTTAATAAAACTTGGTCTATGAATACACTAAAAACTCTATTGGAAAGACTCTTTTGTCCTAAAGTGTGGAATGCTGACGATGGACTTGGGGCCCATTCCCACGACTAAATTATAGCCCTGTTATTCCACTTCCACTGCTATCGTTCCCATCGTATGAGATCCCGGGGCTGAGAAAACTCAATGTCTCTTCCAGAACTACCAGTCCCAGAATTCCAAAGGGTAGAGCCATGGCAGCTAAAGTGGAATAACAGAGCTATACCTCTGTAGTGTGAATGGGCCCCAGTTTGCAAACCACTGAACAGGAAGCACTCTGCCAACATCCCTCCCTGAGTTCCTGTGTCTTCAGGTTTCTTTACTTTGTTTCTGTAAAGGCCGCTTCATGGTGCTTCCCTGATGGCTAAAAGTGTGGTACACCCAGGTGCAAAACACCTACCTTACAGCTCTCTTCTTTTCTTTTTCTTTAAAAGACACCACTTAAAAGAATTTGGAAACATTTCCCCCCCCTTTTTTTTTTTTTGGTACTACATCTCCCAGAATCCCCTAGCCGGCCTGGGTACTAACTAACCGTACTGGTTAGGGTTTCTGGGAGTTGTACTCCAAAACATGGAACTTTGCAAACCTTTGTTTGAAATATTTCATCCTCAGAGTGAAGGAAGGAGGGCCACGCATCTGTGTCAAAAACTTGTTGAATTCTTACACAGACGCCAGTCCGTTTCTGACACTTCTGAAAGAAAGAAAGAAAGAAAGAAAGAGGCTATGAAGACTGGGGGGTTGCAGACTGCCAGAAA